GTTGATGTGGTTAAAAGTAGAGGCTCAATTGTAAGGTGGCAAAAGAGAAGGAGGAAGAATAATCGGGAAGCTATTGTAATAGTTCTGCCAAGAGACGATGGTGGCTCAGAATAGAGAGAAATATTAGTAAAGGTGGTGACAACCGATAATCTTTGACACATATTTTGGAGATGAAGCTAATTTAGTTAAAAATTTAGGTAACAGAAGGTAATTCATAGGTGCCCGTATATGGAAAGATTTTTCTGGGCAGTGTCTAGAAACTGAGACATTTCTGGGCATTCCTTCCTTTGTGTTCAGTGACTGTGAAACACCTCAGCTGCTTCTCCTGCATCCTCACTGCAGGGCAGGTAACTCATCTTTCCAGCCTGCCCAGAAACTCCACTGAGCATGCCACTGTAGTGTCCTTCCAAAATTCACGCTGGGTTTTCATTTCTGTCGGGTATATCTTTAGGTTGATTCCCTCAGGCCAGTTCTGCTTCACAGTTTGCAGTGGGTTTCAGAGGAAAAAGGGCTTTTCAGATCTTCCCAGTAGCACATGCCCCAGTTGTACTCTGTGCCTCTGTTGGCACCAGCATCTCCAGGCCCTGTGGTAGTTGTGAAGTTGCCACTAGGATGCCAGGCTGAGGGCTGTGTGGTGCTGAAACCCAGCCATGCTCTACATTTTAGGCCACATACCTCGGCATGAAGCGTTATTTACTCACAGGGAGAGAACTGTTTTCCTAATTCATGCATAGGTGGTGCATGGGCTAGTAAAAGTGTATGGTGTATGAATAACCATATTGTATAGATTGCACATGGGAGGCTTTCCATTTGCAACATTTTAAAATATTTTTCAAGGGAGCATTTATGTTATATAAGAAAAGCCATACCTACATAAGACAATATATACTGTACATATGTACACATATATGTACATGCATACTTCTACATATATACGCCCACAGTTTTGTGAAACCTAATTTTTTTTCATTTACCTAATAACTCTTCTAGATTTTAAAAGTCTATATGGAATCTTTTTCATGCTAGAAAGGAGGGAAAAATATATGTACTGAGTCAATAGAAGAGGAAATTTTTGGTAGCAGTTGTCAATTTGTAGCAATCATTGGGGCTTGGTGGAGAAGGAGGTAAGGGAACAGGAAGGTTTTCTAGTGTTTTCCCATGTGATAAGGATTATTATTGCTAGAATTATTTGAACTCAGAATAACCAAAACAGTCTTGAAAAAGGACAGAGTTGGAGGTCTCAGATGTCAAAAACTTTGAAATTTATGACAGAATAACCATAATCAGACAATGTGGTGCTGGCATAAGGATAGATATATATAATTCAATGGAATAGACTTAAGAGTCCATGAATAAAACCTAACGTTTCATTAAAAAGATGCCAAGGCAATTCAGTAGGGAAAAGAAGAGTTCAACCCCAGGCACTGGAACATTTGGATATCCACATGCAAAAGAATGAATTTGCTTCCCATCTTACACCACATTAAAAAATTGACTCAATATGGATCAAAGTCCTAAACTTAAGAGCTAAAATGATACAAATTTTAGGAGAAAATGGTAGGTGTAAATCTCTGTGCTTTGGGTTAAGTAATAGTTACTCACATATGACACCTAAAGCATAAGCAACAAAAGAAAAAAGATAAATTAGACTTGCTCAGACTTTAAATTGTCTGTGTTTCAAAGGATATCCCCAAGAAAATGAAAAGACTTCTGACAGAATGGGAGAAAATATTTACACATCATATAGCTGATAATCATATATTTGATTAGTATCCAGAATATATAAAGAGCTCTTAGAACTCAATGATAAAAAAAGATAACCCAATTCAAAAAGTGGACAAAGAATTTGAATACATTTCTCCAAAAAAGATATACAAGTAGTCAAAAGCATAGGAAAAAAATGCTTAACATTACTACTCATTTGGGAAATGCAAATCAAAACCACAGTGTGATACCGCTCCATACCCCTCAGATAACTGTAATAAGAGAGATGGACAGTTACAGGCACTGGGCAGGAAAGACAGAACGATACACGCTACAACATGGGTTAACCCTGAGAACAGCCAAGTGAAAGAAAACAGACATAAAAGTCTACGTATAACTTGATCTCATGAATATGAAATGTCCAGGATAGGCAAATCTGTGGAGCCAGAAAGTAGATTGGTGCTTGCCTGGTGCAGGAGGATAGAGAAAACTACTAATGTGTACAGCCCGCCATTTGTATCTGTGGTTTTTGCATCCACAGAGTCAACCAACTGCAATAGAAGATATTCGGGGGGGCAGGAATCCCATAAATTTTAGAAAGCAGAAGTTGAATTTGTCACGTGCCAAGCACTATGCTGAATCCACACAAATGAAGTAGTGTGTTGGCGTGCCCTGCTGTAGCCTATATGGAACTGCTATGCCATTTGATATAGGGGACTTGAGTATCCTCTTAGTTTAGTATCCTCGGAAGTCTGGAACCAATCCCCTATGTATACAAAAGGACAACGATATAGAATTTCATTTTGGAGTGATGAAAGCATTCTGGAATTACGTAGTAGTGATAGTTTCCTCCTTTGTGAATGTAGTAAAACTACAGAATAATACCCTTTAAAATGGTGAATTTTATGGTGAGTTATATCTCAATAAAAGAAAGCTTAATTTTAAAAAATGTCTTTAAAAAATCATCTTTTGGCCCTAACCAGTGTGGCTCAGTTGTTTGGGCATCATCCTGCAAAGTGAAAGGTCACAGGTTCGATTCCCAGTCAGGGCACATGAGTAGATTGCGGGTTTGGTCGGCCCTGATCGGTGCATATTCAAGAGGCAGCTCATCAATGTTTTTCTCTCACATCAATGTTTCTTTCCCTTTCTTTCTCCCTCCCTTATCCTCTCTCTAAAAATAAATAAAATCTTTTTTTAAAAAAGATTATCATTTGATCACCTTTGGAGGTTGCTATGGCATGAACTCACTCTGCAAGCTGGTAAATTTGTGGAAATATTTCTGTGCTAACTGAGTAACAGGATAGCCAAATAGCTGATGATGAAAAGCTTCTTTTTTTTTTTTTTAATAGTAGTTTTTCTGAAAACTAACTAATGTACTATACATACTTGAATAAGAAATGATGATCATTAGTTGCAAATGAGGGGATTTGGAAATGAATGGATCAGGCTAATAATACCGGACCCACGGATCCATGTTAATATTGCTAAATGACATTATGCGGCTCCTGCCTCCAGCCATTAAATGACTCAAACAAGAGAGGTTTTGGGGGTGCCGGCTCACTTTGGAAAGGCGTCCTCTGCAGTTGTGATTAAGGTACGCCTCTGCAGCTGTCGCCCTCTGTCTCCAGGCCCTCCTGATGGAAGACCACTGCAGCTGGCAGCCTTTGTTGGGAGGTGTGGGTTCAGGCAAGATGTTGGAGTTTCTACTGCCCTGTGTATGTTTTTGTGCGATTCTTGAGAGGAGAGAGGGTCCTGGATGACCAGTTCAGCCTACACCTAGGAGTCTTTGGGAACTAAATCAGTAGACCAAGGAAGAGATAAGACCTGACCCAGGGCAGAGGCGATGTTGGCAGAGTGACAGGACAGATTGATTTGTTTTCTGGGGAGATTAGGCAGGGCATATAGTTAAGGGCTTCATTAACATTTGTTGACTGTTGAATGGATACAAGTGAATTCACCCAATTTTGGGGTTTCATTATATTTCTGTTATAAATTGTGCCAATGTATGTGTAGTCCAATTCCAGAGTTACCAGGCAAGAATTGAGTCAGTCTCGCTCGGGCTTCTAGAGGAGAGGTTGTGAACGGGTGGCTGAGAGGTCAAATCCAGCCTGTAACTGTGTTTTGTTTGGCCTCCATGATGGTTTTCCGCCTTTAATTTGTTGCCAAAATTTCAAAACAGTGAGATTTCACATAAAAATTGGGGTTTCTGGCTTCCCTTGAAAAAGAAGACAATCTGGCACCACTGGGCTTACATTCCCTCGTGGCAGCAACTCAGCTGAAGCTGAATAGTGACTTCATTAGACCCAGTCCCTGCTCCTCCTTGTCACCAGCTGGCCCTTGTGAGCATTTTGAGTTTGTGACCCTTACTGCAGTGGTTTCAGAAGTTATTTTCTAAATCTTACATTGTTACTTTTAATTACCTTCTTACATTGCTCTTGAAACATGCCATAAGGTCGTGACATCTATCTAATGAGAATATAAGCTCTGTGTTGGCAGAGTATGTCTTCTCTTTTGGGATATTCTCTGTGGTGCTGGTATATACACACTGTAGTGAAGTCTCTACATATTTGTACCTCTCTACTTTGATTTGGCAAGGTAATTGAGGAAGCCCGGTCATTCAAGACATTTTTATGCTATAACAGAACATCTTGATACATTGATTTGGAAATAGAGATGATCTATTATTATCATTTTGAAAAAATTTATGATTATTAATGATGTTTATCTCTTTAACATAAAAGAACTAATTGTCTCAGATAATTTTAGGGTTAAAATTTCTAGGTTACTGGCATTGTGTTGTTAATAAAGAACATTTTGGATTTTAATATTATCTTGGCCATATTAATAATGTGGATTCTTTTAGTTAGGCTTTATAAATATTCTCTCATAGGTAAATGATTACAGAAAATAAAGGAAAAGAGCTGAGGTTTTCCCTGGAATATTCATCTCAAAAAGGATATGGAAAAATGAATTTATTGTTTTTTTATAAAGAAGTGTTATTTGGTGATACAAGTGCAAGGAAGTAATAAAAAATTGGTAGTAATGTTACAAGTATAGGGAAGAGCTATGTTGTGTGCATGTAGTTGAATTGTAGGGTTCAGTTTAAGAGGAAGTCGTTGAGTCAATTACTGTGTTTTTGAAAATTGACTTATTTTTATGAACACAAACCATATATTCTTTAGCTCTGCACTAGCAGATTGGGTAATGATTCTGAACATCTAGTTTGAACACTGTAAATGTTGGTTTCATGCCATGAATATTTCTTTACCCCTATTGTATATTTATTTTTACTTTAGGTGAGAAATTCATCCACACTTCTCTTCAGTACCTTGATCACAAGAATATTTGGAGTTAAAAGGGGAAAGGATGAACTTTTCAAAAAAAATACGTAAGCTCCATCTAATGCTAAGTTTACTTTTTAAAAAATACTATCTTAGCCAAAAATAATTTTTGGTATTTTGATTACTTTTATAGATTCATCTAGAGCATAAAACTATATAAATACTATAGTAAATTAACATATACTGCCAAATTCTAAGTCCTTGAGCAAAAACACCTACTGTTTAAATAAGTAGATCTTTCAAAGCATTGAAAATACAGCAAGGTAGCAACGGCTGAAATGTACAATTTGTTTCTCAGTACAACAGTGAAAGTTTTTTATTTCTCTCATCTTCAGGTATTCCTGAAATAGCCTAAAATACTTTTTTCTTGATGTGTCAACTACTAGCTTGTGCAATATCTTTTTGTTTTTAGTAAAAAAAAACCTTAACCTTCATTGTATTTTTTCCATTACCATTTAGTCCCCTTATACCTCTCTCCCCCCAGCAATCACCACACTGCTGTCCATGCCCACGAGTCCTTTTCCCTTTTTGCTCCATCCCTCCACCCCTTAACCTCTCCCCCTGCCACTAGCTGTCATCCTGCCCTCCATCTATGGGTCTGTAGCCATTTTCTTTATTATTTCAGTTTGTTCATTAGATTCCACATATGAGTGAAATCATGTGGTTTTTGTCTTTCCCTGACTGGCTTATTTCACTTAGCATGATATTCTCCAGGTCCATCCTTAGTGTCACAAAGAGCAAAATTTTCTTCTTTTTTTTACAGCCAAGTAGTAGTCCATTGTGTAAATGTCCCATATTTGCTTTATCCACTCATCTACTGATGGACACTTGTCTTGCTTTTATAGCTGGAAGTTTAAATGTTTATGATACAGTCATCAGTAACATGTCTCAGAAGACCTGTGTGTTAAGCTCTGTAACCAAGAGGAGCAGTTACAGATGTTGGTCACACAGAATAAACAATTCTTTCCACTTTTAGGTCTGTTATGTTATGTTTACTCTCTAAAATGTTTTTCTCTTAAGATTTTTTAATGTCTAGAAGGAAATCTATTGAAACACTTGGTGGGTAATTTTTAGATACAGCGCGCAAGTTCTGCTTTGTTGGTTTTTAAAGAGGAGAAGCTTTGAATACATTCCTTAGCTCTTAGGAAGATTTAATGGTAGGCTGGTGACTTGCAGTTCCTAACACTAGATGTCACTGTTGCTGCATGTTTAAATACTTTCTTCACAGACTCCAGTTTGGCCCAGGGATCTTTCTCCTGATCTCGAGATAAATCAGGCCCTATTTTCTCCTACCTAAGAGAGTCGATTATTTTTCATTTAGGTTTTAAGCTTTTGTTTATTAAAATACATGTTCTTGTGATGGAATTAGAAAATATCATGACATAATTTTATTATGCACTATTGGTAATTCTAATGAAACCTACTGGTAGTTTTGAATTGTCATTTAAATTGCTACCTATCACCCTATAAAATTCAATAAATATTTAAAAGGAATGCAACTGGCTATTAATATGAATCCCCTGAGTATATTCAGGAAATACCAGAGAGATGTTTTTTTTAACCAAGTTGTATTTTTAAAATAATGATAAGCCCCGGACAGATAGCTCAGTTGGTTAGAGTGTCGTCCTGATATGCCAAGGTTGCAGGTTTGATCCCTGATCAGACCACAAGCAGGAAACTACCAGTGAATGCATAAATATGTGCAAAAATAAGTTGATGTTCCTCTTTTCCTCCCCCACTTCTCCTTTCCTGTCTCTCTAAAAAGAGAAAATAAATAAATGAATAATAAAATAATGATGACATTATTTCTTTGAAAGGATAATTATAATTTTTACTATGTAGCTGATTCCTAAAGAAATTCTTCCTGTCTGTAATTTGAAATGACGAATACTTGTTTCTTCTTAGCTTTGTTGATTTTGTTAGTAATTATGCAAAATGCCAAAAAGTTTAAAACTGGTCATAGTATTAGGCCATGATAAATAGTGGTATAAATAAAGCATGATACGAGGTTATCAAACACGCGAAATTAATGTTTGAAACAGAACTTAAAAATGAAGAAATGCTTTCTTTCCCTTTTACCTTTACAGAGTGAATGTTTCTTGATTATGTAATTAAATTTGAGCATGTACAAGAGAAGTTGCTAGATTCATTTCATTTAGGTTCCATGTGAAGGAGGGTGGAAGAATAATAACACAGTGAAACCACACTGTTCTAACCTTTTGCCCAAAGCATGCTGATGGCAACCTCTACTATAAACTCATTATCTTAAATAAGAAAGGTTACAAATAGATAACTTTCCTAGAAAGGGGGAAATGGACTGTTCATTTAATTGTTTTGTGTAAAGTTCAAAAGTGGGATTAAGCAGTTGATTTTTTAAAATGTGATTAATATTTTTGCTAAGAGCCTAGTTCAATAAATCTAACAATTGGTGTATACCACTTTGTATACAAGGCTCCTGTTCCTTGTTTGACCCTTAAAGAGTGTATTGCTTGGCAGCACTCGCTAGATTTGCTCTGCAAAACCTTTAGTGTCTTAAATTTCTATTATTTATAATGGTTCTTCTAGTTGTAGTTTGTTTAATTGTGTCAGTTTTTTGTTGAAATATTTATACTCCTGTTCCCTATGGTATTAACTCCCTGATGGGCAGAACCTTTTCCCTCTTTTCTGTGTATACACAATGGGCACCTGAAGAATGCTCGTAATAATGACGCCCTGTTGGTTGGTTACTCAACCATCCAAGGACTAAACTCAGCTGATGAGGCCTCGCAGACAGTTCTTGCAGACAGTCAAGTCTCCTTTCACAGCCACAGGCTGTTCTGCACAGAATCTTGAAAATGTGTGCTGTTGGTCAGAAGTGGACTGGACATAAAAAGAACATCTGCCCTTCCTACGTAGTGAAAAAAAAAGTCCGGGAGTTAACAGACTTGGTTTCTAGGCATTTTGCTGCCACTGGAGATGACCTTAATAGACTTCCTTATCCGCTTTGTACTTCAATTTCTCCATCTATATAATAGGAATAATAAGATCTGTCCTCTGCATTCGTAGGACTATGGTGAGGATAAAACAAATTATTAACAGTTCATTTTCCTTTAAAATATTGGGAGTCCTATGCAATTCGAGATACGATTTGCTTTGTTTCTCTGTTGCCACTTTTATTGTACTCACTTCATTGTCTTACAGTTACGCTGCTTTTTGAGGACAGGGTCAGTATCTTGTCCATTTCTGTATATCTGGTGCCTTGTGTATTGTCTTGTATGTAATAAGCATACAGAAATACTTGCTTAATGAATAAGTAAATTTTATTACTAGGAAAGAGATAAGAGCTCTTGTTTCTACTTCTGCCTTTGCTGCCATATACCCACAATAATCAACTGAGACAAGTTAGTTAACCTCTCTGGGCCTTGTTTGTTTTCTCTAAAAGATTTGGACTATCCTTAATGTCTCATTTCTGTAAAATACTCAGCTAAGGCACTGTGTAATTTTCAGTAGACTTGTGAGTTGAGTAAACTGCTGTATTCCCAGTGCCTAGAGCAGTAGCTTCCTCTTAGTAGGGACAAGAACTTCCCTTGCCATATGCAGAGAAAGGAGCAGGTGTTCTGCTTCCTCATCTTTAAGTATGTAGTGTGCATGCAAAAGGACCCAACTTTCACGCTTGTTAGTCTTATTCTAGATGTGTCCTTTGGATTATGAAGAGTAAGAAAACCTGAGTTTTACACGTTTGTTTTAAATACTGTTACTACGTTTTAATTTTCCAAAGCTTCATTTCTTTCTCTTTATTATTACCTGACTGACTTGGCCTGAACAGTGAATGACTAGCCCTGTGTAGGATCAGAACTTGCCCAGCCCTGTGACCTGGGGAGTGTGCTGGGCTTTCCGCAGGAGCCCCATCTGCAGTGCAGGCAGGCTCAGCGTGGTAGTGCCTCATCCCTCCTCACAGGGCAGGAGCTAAGCCCATGTGATCTTTCACTCTAGGTCTTTCCCTTTGGCCCCTGTGTGTATTAACCTTCATCTATTCTCGTTCCAGGTTAATGAAATATACCAACATACAGCAGATTGAAATGCTTTATTTTAGACTTTGCCAAAGCCCCACACAGGTGCTCAGTGCACAGATTGTTCAATAGCTTTTGCCTTCTGACTTTATTTTAAATCAGTCATTCACCTAATGTGAATTTGGAAGCATTTGTCATGAATTCAATTGACGTGATAAAGGAGTCCATGAGAAATATAAAACTTGGAACTTGCTCAATGAATTAACATTTCAGTTTGGGAAATAAAAATTGTTATTTGCAAAACAGTTACAAATAGAAGACAACATATAATAGTTGCACAGAATGAGTAATAGATGTATTAGAAATTCATTAATGGGAGAGTTGAGTAGAGTGTTTGGAGAAAAGTAGTGTTCTTATAAAGCCTAGGAACTAGGGGATTTAGGGGTACATGTAAATGCATAGGTTTAAAAAAAAAAGGAACAAGGCCCTGGACAGGTAGCTCAGTTGGTTAGAGCATTGTCACGATATGCCAAGATTGTAGGTTCAGTTTCCAGTCAGGTCACATTGCAAGAATCAACCAAGGAATGCATAAATAAATGGAACGATATATTGATGTTTCTCTCTCTCTCTCCTCCTTCCTCCTTCCCCCTCCCTCTCCCTCTCTCCCTCTCAAATCAACAAATATTGAAAAAAGAGGGACAAAAGAATAATTTTTTTCTGCGTTGTTTAAGTACAATTTCTGTTCTATCTTGTTAGAGCTTATTGGGTGTTTGTAAAAACATCACTAAGTACAAGTAAGGTCATTTCCAATGACTATTTTAGAAGATACTAAATTGTATTAGTTTTATTTTCCTGGATGTAAATGACAGAGAGTTATTTTAGTTATTTCTTTTAATTTCTTAGAGGTATAGGTTTGGAAGTATTCTCTGAGGGGCGCCTAATCTAGTCCAGCCGCTGCTTGTAGACAGATTTTGGAGCAATTTCCAGACAGACTGGCTTCTCTCCTCTTCTTCCTGTTTTCTAGGAAGAGAGAGATTCCACAAGTTGCTGTGGTTACC